CAGCAGTGGTTGGTATGCCAACAGCGAACGAACGTGCTCATGACGTTAGAGCCGCTTGACTGGAGTTCACTGAAGCGTAGCATCATCGCAGTGCGAGTGCACAGCTCTATGCACAGCAGTCACTAGAGCTGAGGCTAGAGACATGCTTGAGCGGACTCGGAACTGAGGTGGAGCGCTACCCAGAGGCGAAATCAACCCAACGAGCTGGGAGTTCCACCATGGTCATCTCAAACGAGCGTTCCCAGAACACGCCTCGACATGCAACAGCCAATCACACACGCCCGATGTGCCTGTCTGCGCCTGTCACAAATTAAAACCTATAAAACGCAACGTCGAATAAACGCGCGAAATGGATAAAACTCAACTCAAAGCCCAAACAGCTTCCATCGCCCATGCATGCAACGCGATCGTCGGACCATAAAGCTTCGTAGCAGCTTCCGCGCTAGGATGGGCGCCTCTATATGTCACCATTCGATGTTTTGCTGTCTTGACAGCACGCCATTCGCCGCTCCGCATCGCCAGAGCGCATGTTCACCAAGGACTCCACTCTCAAAGCAAACTCAAAGCTTCTTTTGAGTTTCTAGGGTTGCCGTGACGTTTTCCGCAGTGCGAAATTTGCGAGATGGGCGTCCAACGAGTCTGGACCTTCTTGCTGCTGCTGCTGTCGGTGGCCGTCGCCGACCTGCGCCTGCAGACGTCGATCCCGTTCGAGACTGACGCGTCGCCTGCCGAGGTCGCGGCCAACCGCATGGACTTTTTGATCATCGTCGGCGACGTATCGACCGACATGGCGCGCGTCCTCTACGAGCCATTGGTAACTGGCGCGACCATTGACATTGTCCTCGAAGCCGCGACGGCGGACGGCCGCTTTGAGCGCGTCGCCGCGCAGTCGCGTGCGCATACCCAGCCCATGCCGTACGTCAAGACCTTTGACGGCTTGGTGCCGCACCGCCAGCACCGCGTTCGCTTCGCCTTGAACGGCCACGACGTGGCCGAAGCGATGTTCCGCACGGCGCCGACGCCGTCCGACGCCACCGATGTCCGCGTGCTCTCGGTCTCGTGCGACCGCTTCAGCGAGGACGCCGACGACACGCACTGGTCGACGCTCGCCGCCGACATCGCCTCCGACGATTCGTACTTTGGCATTGTGCACACGGGCGACCAGATCTACGCAGACCAGCTTGTCGATCTCGCAGTCGCCCAGATCAAAGCAGCGTCCGCGCTGAGCTTTGAAGAAACGCTCTCTGCCTTTCGGGACTTGTACCGGCGCTGTTTTGGCCGGCCGATGCTGCAGTATGTGTTGCGCCGGGGCGCGCACTGGATGTTGATCGACGACCACGACATCATCAACAACTGGAGCTACGCCAACCTCGAGTCGCCGCAGCACGAAGTCCTCGTCCGCGCCGGTCTCCAAGCCTTTTATGAGTACCAGTTCCAACTGTTGCACGATGTCAACTGGCAAGAGATGGATTTTGCGCAGACGCACAACTGGTCGTCCTTGTACCTGCCTGGCCACGCTTTGCGCCGAATCGGCAACCTCTCGCTGCTGCTTGTCGATACGCGCCTCGATCGCGGGCTCCAGACGACTGTACGTGTGCTACGAGGTATTCCGCAGCCAAAATGACGGCGCTTCGTCATTCGTAGGCGGCCGCGCCGACGCTGATGAGCGATCACCAGCTCCGCTTTGTCCAAGAAACGCTGGATGCCAAAGTGGATGGCGAGCGCTTGGTGCTCTTCACACCGCTCCCGCTCTTCTTCCACACCAAGTACTCGGCGGCCTTTGCCGATTTGGTCGACGGCGAAATGTACCCGGGGCTTGACGTCTATCGGCCGTTCTTTCGACAGCTCTGGCCGCACTTGGCGCACGCGTCGCTGCTCGTGGGCGGCGACTTGCACATGACGGCCGACACGACCGTGTGTGGTCATGTCGGGTCGGGCAACTGGAGCTGCCTCCCGCAGCTCATCACGAGCGGCATGACGCAGGCGTCGACGACCATGGACCAACTCAAGATCATTTCGTTTCATTTTGCCATCACGCAAGTGCTGCAGCCGTTCCATTGGCTCTACGCGGCGCTCGTCCCCCGCACGCGCACCGAGTTTGCGATGCTGAGCAAGCACGTCTACTATGGCAAAAACTATGGTTACGTCCGCCTCGCCGCCAACCACACCTTGTCGTACGGCGCCGTCGCCCAGCCCTACACGACGGGCGGCGCCACGCTCGTGCAGGTAGTGTACTCTTCTACCCACGTGGTCTTCTCGAACGATGGCATTCTTCTAGATGGCGTCCGATATGCTTTCGTGGGCGGTCCACAACGCCGCGCTCTCGAGCGCCCTTTGCCTGGCGTCGTATCTTGCCTACGCTCGGCTGCATTCGCAGAGCCCATAGAACCAAGTCCGCGAGGTAGTAATATCACATCGAGTCGAACCAAAGTGCAGGGTGGCACTCCACATGTTGAAGAGATGCCTCTGCGTCTCGTCTTCTCGATGGGTTCTAGCTGGGTTGCGGGAAGTGGATGGCAACGCTTTACGTTCCGTTCCAGCCGAAGGGCTACCGACTTCGGCAAAAACCAGACGCTGGACTTCGGTCCAATCTGGATCTGGGAGTGCGTCGGAGTAGACAGAACCCTTGACGATCCAGTCGCCGCCTTGGAACCGCTCCAAAGAACCATTCACGCTCAACGCAGTGCGCGTCTAGTCGCCGTCTGCGGCTCTGGGCGGACCACTGTATGGCGAGCCCATATCTTTGAGAATTCCTCGCGGCTCGTCGGGCGCCTGTCGCAGTTTCAGCTGTTGTTGGGGGACGTCTTCTTCCGTCGCCTCACCTTTCATTTCGATGCAAACCCGAGGCTTTGACGTGGCATCGACTTCGGCGCGGCAAGCGTACCAGCTCCTCACGGGCGCGGTCGTGCCGCGCCCCATAGCCTGGGTACGACGCTCTTCCGCTTCTATCGTCCTTCCTATATTAGTCTCAACTTGATACTTGCCGCAGATCAGCACGGTGAGCGCGGACGGCGTCACGAACCTTGCGCCCTTTTCGTTCTTCACGGTCGTGAGCTCGGACCCGCCGATCGTGTCGTACACGCAACTCTTCCCGACGCCCGGGACCGACAAGGATACGCTGACGAATCTGCGCGCGACCAACGAATGCGTCATCAACTTTGTCCCGATTGAGCTCGGCGAGCTCATGAACGCCACGTCCAGGAATTACCCGCACGGCGTGAGCGAGATCGACGCGCTCGAGATCCCAACGATTCGCAGTACGCGCGTGCAGGTGCCTGGTGTGGCGGCTTCGCCGATCCGCATGGAGTGCTCGCTGCGGGACGTCCTCGAGATTGGCAACGGCAAACTCGTGCTGCTCAACGTCCTGCACTTTGAGGTTGCCGAGGCGTCGCTCACAGAGAGTGGCCAAATCGACAGCAACGTCTTTGCGTCGCTCGGCCGCATGAGCCGGAACGACTACGTCGCAACATCCAACCTCTTTGAGATCGCGCGGCCGACGTCCTAAGTTTCTAGTACAAGCTACGATCCCGTCCATCAACCCGTGTCGGTTCGTGCAGCGACCTCGTGTCGGACCAGAGATATCACCAATCGACCAATCCGCCCTCGACTGCATCTTGTGCCCAGACGCAAGCGTGTTGCTGCCTGGTACAAGCGGTGATATAGCGTCGGTCATTTGCACACGATTGTACGTGTCGCCAGGTGCGGTGCCACGTCACCACCTCCTATCGGCGCCCAATCTTATTGCTATCGCCATCAGCAAGGCCCTTGGGTATGTATATTGTATGGCCTTGATGCACTCCTTGCAGCTGCACACTAGGCCTATGCGCGAGTCTTGGCTAGCGGACTTGCGCCTCATCACGAGGCGTCTTGCCGACCTCTGCCATCACTGCGCGTGCCAGCTGGCGATCCCGATATCTGTGGCCACATTGCCGGACACCGGGCCCGGCATACAAATACCAAGTGAGCGAAAATAGCCGGAGGTTTCACGTAGGATATTTGCCTCAAATTAGGGTGCATCGGCCCTTCGATCTGCAGTCGCCATTCCTGCACGATGACCGAGGGGCCAGCGGCCGTCGCGCCACCGCGACAGCTCGGACTGCAGCTCAGCCTCGTGATCCTCGTCTTTATCGTCCAGTTCTTCGTGCTCCAGTATTGGTTCTCGTCGACGCCCAATGCCCCCAAGACGCTGCGCGAAGAGATGCTCGCGAGCGCCAAGGCAACCCACGAGCCGTTCGTGCGCGCCGCTGTGCTCTACTTCCCATCCGAGAAGGCAGCTGCGTTCCTGCCGCAGCTGCGCTGGTTCCATGAGAGCTGGCGCGAAATGCAGCAGCACGAGCCATTGCTGTGGCGCACCGACATGGTCGTCTTCACCGACACCTTGCTGCCCGACTTCGGCGCGCTCGGCTGCGCATCGACGCCCCGCGCGTCGACAAGCGAGCCCAACAAGTGCGTCGTCATCACGAGCGGGTTCCATGCGGCGCCCGTGCCCGGGTATGCGCTCGGCGCATCGATCGGCGTTGCGGGCGAGACGCATCCGTGGGTGACCATCTACGACTACATTCTGCGCACCGACCTCGACACGTTCCTTACGCCGGCATTTGCGCCCTGGAAGCCGCGCGGACTGACCGTGGGCTTTGGCGAGTACGCGTTCGAAGGCTACAACACGAGTGCGCGGCTTGCACGCATCGCGAGCGACCTCGGGTACGCCCCAATGCATGTGGCCAACGTCGGCTCGACCTGGTACGGACCCCGCGCGCACGTGCAGTCGTGTGCCCGCCTCGCGGTGCAGGCCATGGTGTACCTCCACGCGCGCGAATTCAGTGACGTTGAGAAGAGTGCTGCGTACGGCGACCAGGGCTGGCCAGAGTGGCACCACGGCGCGATCAACCTGTACGCAAGCCACCTCGCCATCAACGAATGCACCGGAGACGACCTCCACGACGAGGACGACGACGACAGCAGCAGCAGCAACGTGCTGGTGCGGCAGGACATGCTCGATGTGCCCACCACGTCCGAGGGCTCGCCGTTCAAACACGCGCATCTGCACACGCCCTGGCGCGACGACCGTGCGTCGCCCACGTTTTGCAAGTTTGCCTACGAGCGCGGCGAGTATTCGAGCGTCAGCGAAGAGCAGCTCTCGCCCAGCCGCATCGGCGACTACGCGCTACGTATGGCACTGCGCGCTGGTGCTGGCAATGCTACGACGAGCACGAATGAGGCTGTCCGTGTCCGCGCCGTCGTAGTCTTCCTTCCGGCGCCAACCTCGACTGCGCTCCGGATGGAGTTCCGGACGCTGCACCGCAGCTGGCTGCACATCCAGACGCACGACGCCGACGCCATGCGCACCGACCTCCTCGTCTACACGACCGACAACGACGACGACGGCTATCTCCACGGCCTGGGCTGCACGAACGCCCACGTCCGATCGGACCGCCACCGCCCCAGCGCCTGCGTGCTCTACAGCAACGTTGTGCCGCAGCGGTCGTCCACGTTCAACGTCGATATGGATCCGATCCACGTGCTCTCGGTGGTGCCGGCCGTGTACGACTACATTCTCAAGGTGACACCGGACGCGATCCTGGCGCCCGGGCTCCACGCGTGGACGCCCGCGTCACTCGTGACGGCGTCGACCAACTACGCTCTGGACGGCCGCGACACGAGCAGTCGTCTCGAGCGGATTGCGACCGACCTTGGCCTCGCCACCGGCAGCAAGCGTGTCAACAACTTTGGTGCGACGTGGTACGGGCCCGCGAGCGTCGTGCGCACGTGCGCGGCGCTCGCGATGCACGTCGCCAAGCACCTCGTCGCCCACGAGTTTACGGACGAAGAAAAGTCTGCTGCTTACGGCTCTCGTGGCTGGCCGCGCTGGCACTTTGGCGCGCTCGAGCTGTACGCGAGCGACATTGCGATCCACGACTGTGCGCCCAACGCCGTTCAGCGACCCGACCTCTTGGAAGCTTCAGCGACGCTGCAGGACGCGCCGTCGCAGCACGCCGTCTTGCTCACGCACGAACACGATGGAGTCTTCAACAAGAAGGAATTTGCAGCTGGCGTCTACGGAGCCTCGACGGTATCGCCTGCCGCGATCGACGCCAACACGAGCGCGTATGCGCTGTTCATGGCGCTCGATGCGCACAAGGACGCGCTGCCGACGTCAGTATTGCCGTCGACGACCGTCGAGAGCGTCAACGATGACACGTTTGTACGCGCGGCCATCACGTACCTCCCGCCCAAGACGCCAAAGTTTGTGCGGGAGCTGCGCTGGTTCCGCCGGAGCTGGCAGGCCATGGCCGAGTACGAACCAAAGGGGTGGCGCACCGACATTGTCATCTACACGAAAGCAATGACGGCCGTCTTGCGCAGTCTCAACTGCTCGACAGCGCCGCGTTTGAATCGACACGAGCCCAACAAGTGCATCGTCATCACCAACTACACGCCGCTGCGCACCAAGGCCTTCAACTACGGCTACGGCGACTCGCTCAACGTCGTCGCGATGGACAATACTGTCATGGACGCGTACGACTACCTGCTGCGGACGGACCTCGACACGTTTGTGACGCCGGCCTTTGCGACGTGGAAGCCCAAGGAACTCATCGTCGGCCAAGGCGCGTACGCGTTTGACGGCACGACGACGTCGGCGCGCCTCGAGAGTATCATCCAAAAGCTCAACTACACGAAGTCGACCGTCCATAACGTCGGGTCGACGTGGTACGGGCCAGCGGCTGTCGTCCGGCGCTGCGCCAAGCTCACGGTCAAGACGATGCTGTATCTGCACGAATCCGAGTTTACGGCCGAAGAAAAGAGCGAAGCGTACGGCATCAAGGGCTGGCCCAACTGGCACTGGGGCGTGCTCACGTTGTATGCCGGCCACATTGCCATCAACCACTGCGCGAATGACGTCGGCGTCATCAAGCGCGAAGACATGCTCGACTTTCCGACCACGTCGTCCGAGTCGCCGCACCAGCACGCACATCTGCACACGTGGCAGAACAGCGAGCGCTTTAGCAAGTTTTCGTTTGCCGAAGGCAAGTACGCCAGCGAAGACATGACCAAGCTCCGTCATAATGACGTGATTGCTGACTACGCCATGTACATGGCGCTGGACGCGCACAAGGCCCCCGGGCTGCTGCCGGGCGGGAGCGCTGGCAAGGCAACCGACCCGCCGCGCGATATCGACAAGCGCTTTGTCCGCGCCGTTGTCGTGCATCTGCCGCCCTTGACGCCGAGTCTCGCGACCGAGTTTCAAACGTTCCACCGCAGCTGGCAGTACATACTGGACAAGCAGCCGTCGACGTGGCGCACCGATCTCATCGTGTACACGGCGTCGGCGCCGGACCTTCTCTCGCGCCTCAACTGCTCGCGTGATTGGCATCGAACGTCCAGTGACAGCGTTGATGCGTGCATTCTTGTCGACGACCACAAGGACCTCCGCTCCACGGCGTTTCCTGTCGACGTCGACAGCTTCCAAGCGCTCTCGGCAACGACCAACCCTCTCTACGAGTGGCTCTTCAAGTCGACCGTCGATGGGATGCTCGCACCAGGCTTTGCTTCGTGGAAGCCGGCCACGATGGTCATGTCCAACGCCTACTACGCCGTCGCGAGCGCCGACACGACCGAGCGCCTTGAAACCATTGCCGCCAAGCGCAACCTCTCGCGGAGCGACCTCGTCGAAGTGGGCCTGACGTGGTATGGCCCGGCGTCGCTCCTCCGCGCCTGCGCTGCCAATGTCGTCGACGTTGCTGCGTACATGTACGAGCACGAGTTTACGGACGAAGAGAAGAGTCCGGCGTACGGCTCTCGGGGCTGGCCGCGCTGGCATCTTGGCGTGTTGGCCAACTATGCAGCCGACATTGCGATCAACCACTGCACGATGGACGCGGGCATCGAAGCGCGCGCCGAAATGCTCGAAGTCGCGTCGTCTGATAGCGATATGCCGTCAAGCCACGCGCATCTGCACACGTGGCACAACAACGAGCTCTTCAACAAGAACGCGTTCTTTGCCGGCGACTACAAGGGTGTCGACGCCGCGTCGCTGGCTATCGACACCAACACGAGTGCGTACGCCTTGTTCATTGCCCTCGAGGCCGAAGCACTCTCGACGGCGGCCGCATTTGTGGACCCGGCGTCGATCACATCGACCATGACGCGCGCTGCTGTCTTCTACATGCCGTCTGAGATCCAAGGTCGGTTCGTCAACCAACTGCGCTGGTTCCTCCGCAGCTGGCAGGCCATGGCCGAGTTTGAGCCGGCCAAGTGGCGCACCGACATTCTCGTCTTCACCGACAAGCACCTCGCTGTGTACGACGAACTCAACTGCACGTCGCACGTGCGCAGCTCGCCGGCCGAGCCCAACGCGTGCATCATCGTCGACACATACTCGAGCGTCAAGAGCGATGCGTTCAAGTACGGGTTCGCCGACTCGGTCAACGTCGTCGCCGTCGAGTCCCCGGCGCTCGACCCGTACGACTACCTCCTTCGCTCTGATCTGGACACGTTCTTGACGCCAGCGTTCGCCACATGGCAACCGTCCAAGCTCGTTGTTGGTCAAGGCGCGTACCTTGGCGCGACGACGCCGGCGCGCCTCGAGGCCATCGCCGCCGAGCTCCAGTGGGCGCCGCCGACGGTCGGCAACATTGGTTCGACGTGGTATGGCCCGGCGAAAACGGTGCGCACCTGTGGAAAGCTTGCCATGGAAGCCATGTACTACATGCACGAGCACTCGTTCACGGACCTCGAGAAGAGTCCGGAGTACGGCGACCAAGGCTGGCCGCGCTGGCACTATGGCGTCTTGAGCATGTATGGCAGCGAGCTCGCGATCAACAACTGCGCGTCCGACGTCGGGTTCGAGAAGCGACCGGACATGCTCGACTTTCCGTCGAGCTCGGCCGACTCGCCGTTCAAGCACGCGCATCTGCACACGTGGCTCGACAATGAACGTTTTAGCAAGCTCGCGTTCGCCCAAGGCAAGTACGCAGGCGAGACCACCGACGGGCTGCAGTACCTCAAGCACATTAGCGACTACGCCATGTACATGGCACTTGACGCACACAAGGCGCCCGGCCTTATGCCGACGCCCGCGCCGTAGTAGCAACACCGTTTAGTAACTAGGAAGGACGTGCCCGATGTCTCCTGCTGTGTGTGACGCTTTGCTTGGAGGACGTTGCTACCCATGGCTTTTGGATGGCTTTGGCTTGTGCGACATCAAATCTAAAGGAACAGTGTATTTTGGATACACTGGTTCAAACAGAATATTATATTGTAGAGGCTTACCGTTGGTATCAACATTAAATCCAAGAGGTTTTCCGCCGAAGCCCAAGATTGCCATTTTGGAATTTGGAATTCGCAGCGAAAATGGCAAAGGTGGTGGTGATTCCCGTGCTCTCGGACAACTATGCGTACTTGCTCGTGGACGAAGCGACGAAAACGGCGGCTGCCGTGGACCCTGTCGAGCCGCGCAAGGTGCTGGACGCGGCCAAGGCCCACGACGTACGCCTCACGCACGTGCTCACGACGCACTCGCACTTTGACCATGACGGTGGAAACCAAGAGATGCTACAACTGCTGCCGCATCTGACGATCGTCGGCGGCAAGAACGACCGTGCGAGCGCCGTCACGCACGAAGTCGACCATGATGATGTTGTGCAGATTGGCGCGCTGCAGGTATTGGTCTTGTCTCTCGAAATGTTGTCACAATGCGTCGACAGGTCCGCGTGCTCTACACGCCGTGCCATACCCCCGGCCACGTGCTCTACTTGTGCGACGGCAACCTCTTTACGGGCGACACGCTCTTCATTGCGGGCTGCGGCCGCTTCAACAGTACGTGCCGCCCACAAGTCGAATGAGATCACGGTGAATGTTGTTGTAGGCGGCACACCGGCACAGATGCACCATGCGCTCAATACGGTGGTCGCACAGTTGCCGCTGGACACCAAGGTCTACTGCGGACACGAATACACGACCAACAATCTCGCGTTCGCGGCTGCGGTCGAGCCTGCGAACAAGGCCATTGCTGCCAAGCAAGCCTGGGCATCGGCGCAGACAATCACGGTCCCATCGACGATCGCCTCGGAGCTCGAGACCAACCCGTTCTTGCGCGTGACGGTGCCCGCGGTGCAGGCATACACACAGGCGTCGGACCCGATCGAAGTCATGGGCCGTCTCCGCGAGCTCAAGAATTCTTTTGGAAACGGTGCTGGCCCGCGCAAGTAGTTGCTTTCGTAGCTCATACAATAATGACAATTTTGTGCACATGTTTATAAAGGAAGTTGGTATACTTCCTTTTGTGCAGTGGGTGTTCACTCCAAATCGATAATAATTTGTTTGGCCGCCGTTTATCGAGGCCATAAGAGCCGAGTATGATGACGATACGAGGTTAGGGTTGAGTGCACGACTATATACGCGCCGTCTTGGGGCTTTCGCGGGGTCGCCGCGGGGACGTCGAGTCGAGGTATTCGCACTTGGACACAAATTTGAGCGGCGTCTCGGTTTCCGTGAGGTTGGGCAGTCGCACCGTCTCAATCGCTTGGGCCTACACCGTCGTTCATTGCTGCATCCAGCAGACATTGGGAGGTCGTCCTACGGTCATGAAGCGGCGCGCCATTACAGTTTTCTTGGCCTTGCGTCCCGGGCTCGGCTTGTGCGGTATCAAGGGGTGGTCGCCGCCCTACCCGATGCCTCGATGAGACTTTTACACGACCGAAGCGTGGTTACGGCCATGAACCGGTTGTACTGCAAGACGATTCCGATACTGCGCTGGGTCTTGCTTCGCGCTTCGAGATGCGTCTCGAGCGCCTCTTTCCACGGCGTACCGGGATCCAATAGCGTGGGTTCTGCTTCGGGCGCTGCAGTTTGCTTGGACGGCGACGTGCGGCCGTGCACGAGGTCGTACTTGATTTGCTTGTCCGCGATACTTGCCTGCTGGGCCGCCACAAGCTGCTGCTCGACGGCCATGCGCTCCTTGTAGTGCATTTTTCTAGTAATAGTTTGCATCCAAGGTACAGAGGTGGACGAATCGTGCCGTACTGAAATAATTTTTCGTAAAATTTGACTTTGCGGGACAACGTTTCCGTCATTTCTGATAGAATCTAGGCACGAAGAGGTGTGTCAACCCAAACCTGTAGGAACATATAGGATCGTACATCCGTGTTGTTGCGCTGCTCTTGCTTTTCCCGCAAGAGAGCATCGGTCTGCTTGATGAGCTTTTCAATCTTGGACGACTGGTACCGAAGTTCGAGCGTAAGGCGTTCGTTCTCTTCGACGGCGCGACGCGTCGTGCCATCGAGGCTACATATGCAGTCGGGTAAACCCGAGTCGCTCAACACTGCCGTGTCTACCTCTCGGTCATCATCTTGTGCATGTCGTCGCGCGTTCGAAGGACCTCGTCTTCTTGTTGCTTGCGCATGCGCTGGATGTCGGTAATGCTCTTCTTCTCGAGCTCAGTCACCTGGCTCACAAGCTGGTGCTGAAGGTCGTTGCGCTCGCGCGTCAGTCGGTCAATGTCACGCTGCATCCCCTCCTTTACAGCCTTGAACGATCGCATCTCGTCAAGGAGCTCGTCCGCTTCCTTGTACTTGGCAAAGTACATATCCCGATCTTGTGTCATGGCATCCAGTTTTTCCTGCATGGCCCGAATCGCGCCGTTCGTCTGCTGCAGCGCTTCGGTCTCCAGACTATGTACAGTTCAATCAGTAATCGACAACGTGGACCGGACTACATGGCTAGCTTCTCTTGGAGCTCGTCGATCCGCTTCATCTTGAAGAGAATGACACGCTCACGGTCTTCAATGCCCGCCTCGAGCGCGGTCTGGAGCTCCTTGACGCGCGTATGGAGCGCCTTGTTTTCGACTTGGAGCCGACCGAGCTCGACCACCTGCTGCTCGAGCTCATACTGCACCTTCTGGTCCTTGAGCGCGCGCTGGGCTGCGATGCGGAAGGACTCGATCCCATCTTTCTCGAGGGGGTTGCCTGCCGCTGACATTGCACTTGGGTGCCGCGCCGACCACGTCTATTTTTAGACTCCTGATTTGATGGGCATCGTACTTCAAATAGTGTCATACAAGAATCCATGAGCGGCGCCCCCAGACGCGATCACTCGGGCCGCAACCCACCTCGAGCATGCACTTTCAACACAAGTAGGAAGTGCGCACGCTCCAAGTCGCTGCGAGAATGTTAACATATGATGGTGTTGGTGCTGTCTAAAAGCGTGCCTTACATACACTATTTGAGTGCGCTGCAAGGCGAGAGTTGGATCGACACAGTGCGTACGTGACCGATGACGCTTATCGCGCTCGGGCTCGATCAAGCGTGAGCGCTGGACGGCACATGAAGACGCACGTGGAAGCTCGGCGAACGCCTCGTTCTTCCACCGGCCGTTCAATTGCTGGGACACTCTTTTCCACCAATCACACGCGCCCTCGCCGGCTGGATTTGGTTGGCAACTGGAGCCTCGTCATCGTCCTCGCAACTTGAAACTCAAGATCGACGTCGATCGTCGCCGTCGAGCTGCGGCTAATCACAAGGTTTATGGTGTAGCCATAATCGCAGCGATTGCGGTGCGTAGTGGGTGGTAATACCACGAGGAGCGCGGAAGAGTAGCCGACACGACTTGAACGAGACGGCAACCCGCCCGTCGCCATGCAACCCTGCAAGGTGAAGAGAAGGTACACAGCCAGTCCTCAAAGTCGTTTCGACTGATAAATCAGAACAAACACATTTAATTCAGGCGCCGCTTCGCGAGCAGCCGGATGCGAATGAACTCGTGGCTGACAAAGTCCACTGGCCACATAAAAATTCTCATCCGTTGTAGGTTTTCCATAAAAATACATACAAACGCCAAGTGTATACTCACCAAACAAAAATAATATACCCCATGGTAGCCATGTGCAATGCAGCGTATTTCTGTGACGTTCGTCATAAAATAATTATTAATTTTCATTTTTCACGCAGTTTCCCCCGTATTCGAAAGCGTAAAGTAAAAAAAATAGGCAAATTAATTGACGCAGGACGCCCGAGGACTGCATCTTTGTATACCGCGGTTGAAGGCATCGAACGCTCGACCCATTCTTCGATTTCCCCGGCCTTCGGTACCACTACGATCGAACCATGGCTCTGACCCGGTCCAGCGTCGTCGCCTCGCGCCAGCTCGCCAAGGCCTGCCCCTTCATGCACGCGTCCAGCGTCACCAAGCAGGCGCTTGTGCCCAACATCGCCAAGCTCGCCAAGATGTGCCCGCACATGTCGACCATGATGCAGAACCAGGCGCAGGAGGCCGAGGCGATCACGACCAAGTTCCAGGAGGTGACGTTCACGGCGCCGTTCGCCAAGCCCACGCCGGCTCCCAAGAAGGTGCAGCCGTACCGCCGCCCGGCCGGCAAGTACGAGCGCCTCGGCGGTCTCAGCCACGACGAGTACGAGCGCGGGTTCCAGAAGACCATCTCGCGCATCAAGAGCGAAGGCCGGTACCGCCAGTTTGCCGACCTCGAGCGCAAGCGCGGTGAATTCCCCAAGGCCACGTACCACGAGTCGCCGACAAAGACCAAGGAAGTGATTGCGTGGTGCGCGAACGACTACCTCGCCATGGGCCAGCACCCCAAGGTCGTCGGCGCGATGCAGGAGTTCCTCTTCAAGTCGGGCGGTGGCGCCGGTGGCACCCGCAACATCTCGGGCACGAACCACAACCACGTGCTCCTCGAGAAGGAGCTCGCCGACTTGCACAAGACGGAAGGCGCGCTCCTCTTCACGTCGTGCTACGTCTGCAACGACTCGACGATCGCGACGCTCGGCAAGATCTTCCCGGGCCTTGTCATGTTCTCGGACGAGTTCAACCATGCGTCCATGATTGAGGGCATCATCCACTCCAAGTGCGAGAAGCACATCTACAAGCACAACAGCCTTGAAGACCTCGAGGCCAAGCTCAAGGCCGCCGACCCGAACGCGCCGAAGCTCATCCTCTTCGAGAGCGTCAACTCGATGGAGGGCACGATCGCACCCATGAACGAGATTTGCGACCTTGCCGACAAGTACGGCGCCATGACGTTCTGCGACGAAGTGCACGCGGTCGGCCTCTACGGCAACCGCGGCGCCGGCGTCGCGGAGCGCGACCACTGCATGGACCGCATCACGATGATCACGGGGACGCTTGCCAAGGGCTATGGCATCATGGGCGGCTACATTGCCGGCTCGGCCGCGCTTGTCGACGCGTTCCGTTCGACGGCCCCCGGCTTCATCTTCACGACGTCGATTCCTCCGATGCTGGCGGCTGGCGCGATCGCTTCGATCTCGCATTTGAAGGAGTCCCAGGAAGAGCGCATCGCGATGCACGCCAACTCGGCCGAGCTCAAGGTGCGCCTCGTGGACCTCGGCTTCCCGCTCCTTCCGAGCGTGAGCCACATCATTCCTCTCATGGTCGGTGACGCGATCAAGGTCAAGCAGGCGAGCCAGCTCTTGATGGAGAAGCACGACATTTACATCCAGCCCATCAACTTCCCGACCGTGCCGCGTGGTGAGGAGCGTCTCCGCATCACGCCGTCGCCCACGCACACGCCCGAGATGATGGACCATCTGGTCGAGTCGCTCATCCAGGTCTGGGACAAAGTGGGTCTCGAACGCTTCGCCAAGCCCCAGGAGCACCTCGCGGAAGTCCAGTTCTTCAACTACGAAGAGCCCGAGCTCCACCAGGCGGCGTAAAGAGTGTAACCTCTGCAATCAAACTGTTCCTTGGCAGCGTGCACTCTGCTGTGTTCCTCTCCACCCAATATTGTCTTTTCTGGTCGAGACGACTATCTGACGAGTTCGACTAAACTATATACTCTAGGTGTTGAAATAGAACAGTTGGGGACCAAGGTGTCAGTTCTACAGTCCAACTCTAACTTCAAGGATACTATAGTCGGAGTGGTTCGACTCGAGCGAAGTCTCAAAGCAGTGATTGCGCGTACGAGTATCATCGCTGGCGACGTAATGGCGAGCACCTCATCCCGCGTTCGACGACTGACTCTCGAGTCGGATCCGGCTAGATCCTTGGCAAGGAGCAGAGAGCTTGGAGAATTTATTGGTACGGGAATAGGAGCTTCTAGAGACACATAATGACGGGGAGCGCCGAGACGTCTTTGGTCGGCGGCTGCTTGGGCAAAATGGAGTCGAGGTAGTCTTGCGCAATGCCGAGGTGCTCCTCGAGCGTCTGCCGGAGCTGCTGGTTTTCGTGCACGACGCGGCCGAGCTCGGCCTCCTGCTGCTTGGCAATGTCGGCCCAGAGCACCTTCCCGCGCGGCGCGTGCTTCCCAGTATGGTGCGCCTTCAACGTGTCGATCTGCTTGGTCATGGCAAAGATCTCTTTTCGCAACGTGTCGATCTCGTCCTTCATGCGGTTGCGCTTCTTCCCGGCCGACGCCTTGCTCAGAAGCTTCTCGTCGTCCTTCTCGAGCACGTCCGACGACGTCGGTGACGACACGGGCTCGGGCGGTGGCGTCGAGGCCGCGAGGATCGGTGCGTCGTCAAACTCGTCTTCGCGGCGCTTGGTCTCGCGCTGCCACACAAAATGCTCTTCCATCTCCCGCCACGACCGCTTCATCGCGGGCCCAGCATTGGCGTGATGTTGCAGATGCGCATGTTGGTGTTGATGCTGCTGCTGCTGCGGAGGGTGCAAATGCTGTTGTTGCGGCGTGTTGTGTTGCAAAGCGCTTTGGTCGTCGTGGCTGCGCGGGTACAGCATTGGCTTGCCGCTCTCGCTGTGCTCCATCGATGGCTCCCACTGCGGCTTGGGCCACTCGCCATAGTGCGCTCGCTGCGGCGGCAGGCTCGGTGGCAGGTGCGGCGAGTAGTACGCGCCGAAGGGCTTGGCGTCGTCGGCGGCGTCCCGCGGCCCGCTCTGGTCCGGGCGCGGGTACAAGATCTGGATCTTGCTCGGGTACTCGGCCGGCGTCGACGTCGGGAGCGTGCGCTTGAGCATCGTCGCCTCTCGAGTTTTGCGCAAGTCGAAACCTACGAACAGGTAGGTGCACCTTTTCTACTCGCATTTTAATGCGCCCGATTCACGATTGGATACAAACACCAAGGTAAAAGCAAATCGTTGGCATTAAAATGCAACGCGATATAAAAGGCCAGCAGACGCGCATGATTACACCCCATCGCAGCTGATCCAAACACCTTGCGTTCTGTATGTAACGAAATAGAATGGCCGGCGCCGCCAATTCGGACATGTCCGATTTATAAGCGCCTCGTTTAAGGCTTATTTTCGGCCCACGGCCTCGCGACCAAACCTTCGGCGATTCCCTACCCCTCGTTCGTGCCGGTGCGCGCGTGTCAAGTTCGCCTTGCCATTGACGACAAGGGCAAGCGCAAGCCGGCGACGCGCAATCGTCACCGCCGCAAGCATGCGACGGCCCAAAGCATGCGCACACATACTTAGGTTGAAGCACCGGTCCATGCGCTCCTCGACGCATCCACCGGGCAGTCGCCATCGCTTAAACCTTCCATGGGCCCTGCCCACACACTATTTCTGAGGTGTGTGATGGCGTAATCATTTCGCACTCGCCACTGTAGTCGCACCCTGTGGCGAGGACCGGGGTCGATCGGGACCTGCGTGATGAATAGGAACAACGCTGAACTATTGTACCTCGATCGTGTCCACGAGTGCGTGTGCGCTCTCTGGCCAAGGACAAGGGCGTTCAAGAAAATGAAACCACACTATTTCAGTGCGAAACGCTGTGGACTTCATATTGCGTCGCTAGCGAATGCCAGGTGCGCGAACTTGCGAGACGAGCCCTCCATTGGACGGTTGCCAAGGCGCCTGTTTTCCATCTTCCCTTCGTCGCCATGCTCGCTCGCTCCTTGGGTCGCACGTCGGCGCTCGCGGCTCGCTCCTCGTCGGCCGCTGCGCCCTTCGCCACGAACGCGGAGCTCTCGCCGCGCGCCAGCGTCTCGGACCTCATGGCCCCCAACAACGCCAAGAACAGCGTCGGTACGTCGTGCATCATGCGCCAAGCTCCATCTGACGCCATGCTGCTGTAGAGTACGTTGTGAGCAAGGTTGACGACCTCGTCAACTGGGCGCGTCGTGGCTCGATGTGGCCCATGACCTTCGGTCTTGCTTGCTGCGCCGTCGAAATGATGCACACGGCCGGCTCGCGCTACGATTTCGAGCGCATGGGTATGGTCTTCCGTGCCAGTCCCCGTCAGTCGGATGTGATGATTGTGGCCGGCACCTTGACAAATAAGATGGCGCCCGCCTTCCGCCGCGTCTACGATCAGATGCCGGAGCCCCGCTACGTCGTGTCCATGGGCAGTTGCGCCAACGGTGGCGGGTACGTTGGCTTGTCTCTTGACAGGATATGCTCATGCGTCGATTGGAATAGCTACTACCACTACTCGTACTCGGTGGTGCGTGGTGTCGACCGTATTATTCCCGTCGACATTTACGTCCCGGGCTGCCCGCCCACGGCCGAGGCCTTGTTGTACGGCATGTTGCAGCTTCAGAAGAAGATCAAGAGCAACAAGAGCCTCTTGCTCAAGCTGCGCAAGTAAGCAGCTCCTGTCCGCGTCACTTGGCAACTCCTCCAACTCCTCCAACGACGTGCAGTAATATACGAGTGATTCACATGCGTCGCCCGAGTTGATGTACGAAAAGCAGCAACGTGGCATGCACTGCTCGAGGTAGCCCGACGTCATTGGACACGAGCTGCTTGGGGCAGCGCATCGCATCAGAGAGCGTGCGCAGACCATGCTCGTACAGCGTCTACCGACAGCTTCATCATGGGCCACAGGACGCGATCGCCGTACCTCGATCCACGGCAGCGCATGCGCCGTGGCAGCCTTCCACACAGAAGGAACGGGGCGTAGGCGGTTCGCGTGGCCGACGGGCGCCATGGCATGGAAGAAGGCGTGCAAGACAAGCAAGTCGATGGGCTCGACCGCTACAAGCAGCGTCGACCACCATTGCCGCGCACTGTGGTCGTAGTACCGTCGGCATTAGCCATCGACGAAGCGGTCGGACGCTCGATGAACGTGTGGCCGCACGTGGCGCACGCAGTGGCATGTCGCTCGACCTCGAGCATGGCCCAGCAGTGGTCACACAGCGTCTTGTGCAAGCCCATCTCGCGATGAAACGTGCCGTACGATGCGAGCGTGCGTGGGTCCGTCGTTGCTGGCGAGGCCACGAGGCGCCGTCGCGCATCGGTCGCGCGCGCCCACTCGGCCAGGAGCGCGCGTGCATCTACGCACCGAGTGCTGCTACCAGAAGCAGTCGTGCCGTCGTACCGTGATGCAACGGCAGGCGGCGCGACCCTGCGAGGTAGGCAGCGTACGATAGCATCACACACGATGCCTCGACGCGGCTCTCGATGTCGAGTCGCTGCGCAGGCCGGTCGCTCTCGTGCCGGAACCATGCGCTCACGCGCTCGAGAAAGGATAGGAAGAGCCCGCGCCACGGCCAGCGCTCGACACGCGTCGCCACGCTCGCTCTGAACCACCACTGTCAGCCGTTTTGCCACGCACGGATGAGGACCGACGACGTACCCAAAGCAACGCTGGAGCGCGTCGGGCAACCACGTCGAGAGCGGGTCGAGACGCGTATACGGCAAGGAGTACTCGATGGCGCATGTCGCCCATATCTCGTCGTTGGTCGCATCGCAGCGCGCGGCCATGTCCGCCGTCAACGTCGACACCACGAATGCCGCGGGCACCGTCCCCGCGTCCCGCCACTGCGACTCGTAACGCGCGACGAGCGGGTGGAGGTCGTTCCGAACGTGCTCCAAGTAGCGCGGGCGGGCGTCGACCAAGTACCGGCGCGTGGTACGCTGGATCGACGCAGCAGCCCGGTGCATTCCCTTCCTTAGCCCGTCTTCGTAGAGTTGTCGTCGGCGCAGGCGGTCGTGTTGGACGATCGCCACAAACTGTCGCCAGCCGCCAAAAAAGGCCCCGAGCAGGCGGCGCCACACGCGTTGTCGAATGCGCAGCTGATTACGTCAGTGACAAGCCCATGCCGACGGTGGTGACGTACCTCAACGTGGCGTCGGTGGACGGTGTAGCGCGCGGCATGGGCGATGGGCTTGGAGCGCAGGAGCATGTACGTGACAACGCCAAGCTGCCGCAAGGCGTGGGCGCGCCGGAGTTGGAGGCGAATCGCGATCGCTTGGAGCATGCGCCACCAGCTCGCGAGCGTGGTGGCCGCCGCCACTGCGTCCTCGAGGTGCCGTCGCTGCATATTGGTCGTGAGCCGCAAGAGACAGGCGGCATGTGACGTGGCGCGCCTACAGGCAGCAACGTCGAGACCCATTCACTTCTTAGCGAATATCCTACCGGATCTCACACGCGCGGTAGATGGAGCGGCGGATGAAAAAGGCCGACCGCACGGGCCGCATGCGGAGCCTGCGCACACCAGCGTATGGCACTTGCCACGTGAGACGCACATTGGTATGTACCGAGCCGAGACGAGGGTGACGGCGGTGTGCAGCAGCGGCTGCACGAGGCGCTCGTACAAGAGCGCGACGCGCGTTGCGTCGACGTCGCGCTGCAACGTCGGGAGCCGCCGGCTGAGAAACTAAGACATCAGTGGTCAAACAGAGCGTCCGCAGCCATCGCAAATACGTTGCTGACAATCGTCGGCGCATAGGTTGATGGAAACCCATCAATGAGGGACGTCGCGACGTCTAGAGCCAAAACCTGCACAAGGACAAGCAAACGCTGTGGTGTACCGTTGCCGTTGGCATCCTGCAGCTGCGCTTGCAGCGCCACGTGGGTCGCTAGAAGAGCGTCGCGCTTGGCTTGCAACGCGAGCAGCTCGTGCCACGTCATTTGGTACGCTATCCGGCGCTCCCGGAGTCGTTCGAGACGAGTGCAGAGGCGGTCGGGTGGCCTATACACGAGGCGCGCGTCGCCTCCGTATATGCTCCTTGCGCCATCTCATCAGTGTCGATAAAGTCTGTCAGAGATGCATTACGGGCCGCGCAGGGCGTCCTTGGCTCGGCGCAAAAGCCACTGCCGACAACGATACCCGCGGTAGACGCGCTGAAGCGTTCGTGCCGCGCGCTCAAACTTGGCCATGCCTAGCCCAGTGTCGTCATACGAGGTGTGTTGCTACGGAGAACCTCGTTTGGTGCTGTGGCGCTTGTGGGCGTACAGTGCACGAAAGAAGCGGCGCCGGCGCACAAACCTGGTCGAGTGCCTCAGGGCTCTGGCTCATGAGACGCTGCACGCACCCGCGCCACCGCCGTTGGATTCGCGTGGCCATTTTGGACCGAAAGCGGCTACACCACACGACTGAGCAGCAGCAGACGGACGCATGAATACCGGCACGAGACCGTGCGGGGCGAGGTACGGACGGCGGCCGCGACGTCAAAGCGCCGGACGTGCGCCGATAGCGCCGGGCCGAGCAAATGAAAAAACTCAGAGACGACGACGACGCAGCGCATGGAAGCCACGAGCCGCCGCGCGTGGTGGACCTCGGCCTCGAGCGGCCGCAAGAGCATGCACCCAACGCGACTAAAGATAGCCTGTGCTTTCGTACCGATATCATCCCAAACAGATACGGCCGTGTAATGATGGACGAGTCTACAACTGGTATGCTGACGTGCATCTGCTAGTGCCACCCTCCGCCAACCAAGCGTGCTTGACGCCCATTGCCATGTCGCTTGCATCACGTGGCAAGGTGCGGTCGGCGACAGAGGATGCTCGAACTGAGTTGACGAGTCCAACCGCGTCTCTCAACAAAGAAGCTCCACCCCCTCTCCACTCGAAACGACATGCCCAAGTGCAAACTGGCATGCTACTCTGCCACGTCATTAGTGTCGTACGTGCACGGTTCCGCACATTGGGGCGCAAGGCAGTGCTCTTATTTCGCGGGCTTTGCAAGCTGCAGTGCGATGCGTGCGTAGCCGAGAAGCGTCGCCTCGACATGCGCAAACGGCGTGTCCTTGATCGCGATCACATCGTAGGCGGGCGATCCATCCTCGAGCTTGGCGTGCATGTAGAGCTCAACCCCGAAGCACGCGCTTTCGCCGTACTGCTCGGAGCCGTCCCACGACGCAGGCCGGTACTCACTCGTCAGTCGCCCGGCTAACCGGAAGGCCTGGAGGTGCGTCCATTGATACCGCGCATTGGCCGTCGCGTCCCGCGACAGCTTGCGCGTGTTGCGGTGAAAAAAGATCTCGCGGCCAACGTCGTCGTACTGCACCTACAAGACGCTCGTGTCGCCACGTCATCACCCAATTATAGAGTTACCATGCTGAGCCCGCAAAACCGAGGGTACTGCGGGTGGTGCACACCGAGGGCTCCTGGCGGCCGTGCCACCATGCGAAAGCTGCTCTTTGTCTTGAGCCACGCGAGGCGGTAGAGGTCCTTGTCGCCCCAGACGAGGCGCAGGCGCGTTAAGAGCGGCGGGCGCTCGATGGCGTAAAACATGAGCATGTGCAGCGCTCGCTCGTGCCGCCGCCGGTCCACGAGCACTTGACCACTCTCTTGTTCAAACATATCGACGGGCGGGAGGTCCAGAAGCTCCCTGCATCGTGTTCGATTGTATCAACTTGATAGTCTGTACCAGAGAAGACTTTCGTTGTGCACGTTGAAAATCGAGTTGGTCGGCTGCCAAAAGTCGGGCCAGAAGACCGCGCCGTGGGCCTTGTACGCTGGTAGATCAAAGAGGTACGTGGGGTCCGCGATCGCAAAGTTGTCCGTGTCCAGCAGCAGTACATGTTGGAACGCACTATCTCATATCGAGTACAGCGATGCTACGCGAGAAGGAATACCTGTAGAAGAGAGCGTAGGGCTTGGTGTAAAAGCCTGTGGCGCGCGGGTCTTGGATGCGGCGAAGCGATAGAAGCATGTCGTGCGATAGAAGATACGTCAGGATCGGGTCAGTCAGCGCCGTCTCGTCGCTACGATACCTGCAACTTGCATGTAGCCGCAGCAGGCAAATGTGACAGAATACGCACCACAACTCGATTGGCAAGGAACAGCCCAAGGCGCGGAGTGAGTGGATGCTGGCAAACGCACTCACGAGCGACGCGCTTTGGACGACCATGACGATGCCCCGTTCGCCCTCTACCATCTCGTTGTGGATGACGTCGCGACCGCATGGTCGTACCGAGGGCGTACCACGGCTGCGTAAAGATTGGCGCAGTCGGCGTATGCACATAGCGCTCCGAGAGCGGGCCAAAGTCCATAAAGGCGCGCGCGTCCCGGCACGAGTATTGGACATAGTGCTTGGTCGACGAGCATGTCGAGCGCATGGCGGTAAGGGTAGCGCCCGACGACCTGTTGCTGATTACGCACGCGCCCATCGCCGGAAGCTTTAGGTCTTCGGTGCAGGCGTTGCGCTGGTCGCGCTCGTCGCCGCACGTGCCTGCGGACTGCCACCCAATGCACTCAAAGTCGTCGATGGCCCAGACTGGCCGCAGCGCTGGCGGCGAGGACGCGCTCTCGGCCAGGTGCATGGCGTAGAAGACGTACACCATACCGCAGGCCCATAGGTGAAGAGCCACAAAGAGCGCGCCGTACGATCGCCGCATATCCACAAACTGAAAGATACATAAGGTCGAAAACCCCTGCAATTTAATACGTGCGTTTCGGCGTGCCACGTCATCGAACCCGCGGCTTTGGCAGACAACGCGTTGTCAATGGCCAGGCCTACGGTAGCAGCGATATAGCCTTGGCGAAGTGAGCCTACGTACCTTGTTGGTACCAGAGCTCTGCGCGTTCCAGTGCGAGAGCGTTAAAGTCGTTGCTGGATGACGTCGAAGGGACGGTCACTCGGCCATTGAGCAAAGTACAACTCCGCCAAAGCCTCGTACCACGCGCTATCGAAGAGCACCTCCATACCGACATGGCTTTGGCTTCGGAATCGGCTCCGAGCCTCTTCAAGATACGGGTGCGTGGCCCGTTGCGACTTTATAGCACCGTATTTTCGGATAGAGCTGTAGCCTTATCCCTACTCGCACCATTCCGAAGGGCGTGGCACGTGCTCATGGAAGCGGCTTTGCCCGCTCTGGGTGCCAAGAGGCGCTGGCGGGCGGGCTGGCGGCTGCGGCTGCCTGCAGCAAATGTTTCGCCGCGTCCTCCCGTATCCGGATGCTGCTCGTCAATCCCACAACAACCGTATTTTATTCCAAATATGTATTCGGTATTCAAATACCAAGTAAATCGATCATGTTTTTTTAAAAATGTCGGACTTTCCAGTAAACGGCAATCTCAAATATCGGGCACGATGGACGACCGCGAGAAGACGACGTCGTTTGCGCAGAACCTCTCGCCCGAGGACCTCGACTACCTCAAGCAGATCGCGCGCAAGACATGCGCGCGCGTGGCCAGCGCGTCGCGCATGGACGCCGGCGCGGCCATCCGCTGGGAGCCGCTGGGCTGCAAGGACGGCGTCGACCTCTACTTTGGTGCGATCCCGGACGAGCGCGTCCGCTCGAAAGCGCGCAAGTACATGTGCGGCGTGACGTACATCATGGCCTCCATCGATGAAGTCGTCCAGCTCTTCCACTCCAAGTCGTCGCTCCAGCGCGTCAAGGACAGCGAGCCGCAGGTACATGACGGAGGTCAATGGGCGCATATGAACGAATACCTCTAGACGCGCTTCAACGCCTTCGAGCGCGATATCCTCAACACGCGGACGCTGCACAAGATCCGCAAGCGGACGAGCGCCAACCCGCGCCACGCGATCTCGCTCAAGTGGATGCGCCTCGGCTCGAGCGCTGCCAACATGGAAGACCGCGACTTTGTCTACCTCGAGGTACCATCATCCCACTGCTTCTCGCAGCGAAACAAGAGGCTCTCTGCGAGTAGTGCCAAGACACGATCTTTGACGAGAAGCTCCAGCGCCGCGGGTGGGTCTGCAGCATGCACTCGGTGCACCTGCCGAGCTGCCCAGTCCTCGACGGCTACGTCCGCGGCAGCCTCTACCGGTCGGGCTACGTGGTCCGTGAGACATCGACGCCGGGCACGCTCGAGCTCGTGTGCATCATGGACATGGACTTCAAAGGCACGTTGTCCGAGCCCGCGACCAACCTCTGGCTCAAGGCGCGCGTGCTTACGGTCAGCGGCGTGCGCCAGCACTTTGAGAGCCAATGGAACACGTCGCAGCTGCCGCCCGTCGTCCACGCGCCGCCCAAAGTTGTGCCCGAGGAAGAGCCCGAGGCGGCGTCTGCCGCGACCCACTGTGTCTCGTGCCACGACGAGTTCAATGGGTACAACCCGTCGACGACCTGTGTGCACTGCCAGCAGGTCCAGTCTTGGCCTGGTCGCGAGTGGCTGCTGACGCAAATCGTAGGCTGTCTGCCGCACGTGCTCGTGCGAGATCGACGAGACGAGCGAAGTGTGGTGCACGTCGTGCCTCATCCAGGCCAAGCAAGCCCAGCGCTTTGCGAACGACCAAGTGCCCGAAGAAGTCGACGTCCCTGAAGAAGACGAGATCGTGCACGAAGCGCTTGGTAGTCCGCAGCACGAGCACGCGCCTGCCCTTGACACCGACGAGGACCATGAGGACGACCTCCGGACTCGGAACCAGGTCGAGGAAGACGTGGCTGACTGTGATGCGTCGATCGCGTCGGCGACGTCAGAGGGCCATGTCTCGGGCGTGGTGCAACCAGCTGGGTTCTTTGCACGCGCCTGGACCGCTGACGTCGACGACGCGACGTGGCATCCGGACGACGAGGCCGCGCAGATCCAGAGCCACATTGCAGCGCTGAGCGATCTGCCCGCACCAAGTAGCGCCATGGCCGCGCTCGCCCTTCGGCGCCTCATGCGGGCTAAGACGTTCGACGAGCAAAAAACGCGCCTCGCCATCGTCAACGTCTACCACGCAACTGCCGTCAACTAACTCGGTTTATTCAAAAAGAACTTGTGAGTCCTGCTTCGCACCTTACTCGCGCCACCCACGTCCCGACGCCTTCGTGACGTCGTCGGCCCATGGACAGAGACATGGCGTGTGCGTCGACGGACCACCGACGAGGCAGCGTCCACCGCGTTGCATCCTTTAGAAAGGCCGTCGTCCACGAGCGCCGACCGCACAGACGCGGCTGCCTTCCTGGCCTCGATCAGGTTCGCCGAGCGGGTTGCCTGTCCATGAGCTTCTCAGTCTACGGCAACCTGGCGTGTCATCAGGTCTCTCTCAAGACCGTCTCAAATGCCCCGACCCCGGCACATCTGTCGCCACTTGAAGTCCTCAGGTCCTATCGATGCTCTTCACCCATGCGAGAAGCTCGACAACGCAGCCACGCGCAATCCCCACGCAACGCGCCGTTTCTTTGGCCCGCAGCTGGGACGAGCAACCCTCGTCCTTGCGGTAGCGTGTCAAATGACGTAGCCACCACCTGAAGGTAGAGGTATTCTGTGTCAACGGGGCACGTGCTCCAGGCGACAAAGACTGGTACTGCTTCTCGTTGGCGAGCACCCATGCTAGCTAATACTCAGGCTTGCAGAGACTCATGACGACGATGTATACTACTCGGTGCGACAAGGCGGGAGAGCCTTGTAGACGAGGGAGACACTCTTGAGATATCCCTTCGCGACCTGCAAGAAGGTCGCCAATCGAACGACGCCGTTCTCGCATACAAACCGCAAGTCAAATGCGCTGAATATAATTCGGTTCGATCGAAGTTGGAACGTCGTTCGAGGCGTAACGGTCCCGTGTCACGCGGACGCCACTTGTCAAGATGCACTTCGCCGTCGGAGGCTTGAGCAACGAGGCGACGCGCGAGCTCACGGCCGTCGCCAAGCGGTCCTCGAGCGCGCTCCTCAGCGTCGCGCTGCGCTCGCAGGACTCGCCCATCGTGTGGGCCCGCGCCGGCGCGGCCGAGAACGTCCAGCTCTTCACCGGCGAGGCCAAGGTGCCTAGCCGCCTCGCGCCACTCCAGTACATGTGCGCCCACACGCAGGTGCACGCGACGCTTGCGGCGCTCATGCCACTCATGCTGTACCTTCCGCTGCACGGCGACTTTCGCCGGTACGTCCACGACACGGTGGTCATCAACAGCCACACGCTCTTCGACATTGAAAAGCCCGAGCTCGCGCAACCGTACCGCGCGACGAGCATCAACTGGATGTCGATCCGCAGCGCATCCTCGCTCATGCAGAACCGCGACTTTGTCTACGTCCAGGTACGCAGTCGTGACGCCACCGTCGTCGACGCTCATCGGCATGTATTAGCACCAAGACGAGCTCGAAGGGCCCACGAAAGGGTGGGTCTCGTGCATGCACTCGGTCAACCTCCCATCGTGCCCGCCTCTGTCGGACCGCCACAGCCTCGTCCGCGGCGGCGTCTACTCGTCCGGGTTTGTGTTTCGCGAGTCCAAGCGACCGGGGGTCCTCGACGCCGTCTTTGTGCTGCAAGTGGACTTCAAGGGCAAGGCGCCGCGTCTGCTGTGCACGAGCACGCTCAAGCAGTGGGTCTCGAGCCTCGGCCGCATCGCTGCGTACTTTGCACGGCCCAAGCACCTCGTGCGCCCGAGCTTTGCCGTCGATGACGACGACGACGCGCCCCGGCGCAAATCGGACGTCTGCCGCGTCTGCGACCAAGCGTTTAGCGGCTTTCGCATCGAGAAGGAGACGTGCCGCAAGTGCCAAGTGGTACTACGTCCGTGTCTGTCTCCAAATGTGCTCACTTTTCAACGTAGCAAATCTGCAGCAAGTGCGCCGTCTGGAGCGAGGTCGAGCTCGACGTCGTCGGCATTCTCAAGGTGCTCGTGTGCACGCCGTGCGCCGTGAAGGAGCAGCATCGCCTCCAGTCGCTCCTCGGTACGACAATCCTTGTGTGCAACTATCGCATGAAGCAGCGATTTCGTTAGAAAGTGCAGTGCCTCAAGCCAAACCCACCCGGGCCAGCATGCCGGCACCGCCCGTCCGCGCCAGCGTCTCGGCGCTCCCGACGACCTCGAGCAGCAAGATGCGGTCGCTGAGCCTCTACGACGATGGCCTTGGATCGGCTGACGCCAAGGGCATGATCCCACTGCGCTACTCGCCCGCGCGGCAGTCGTACCAAGAGGTGCCCTCCGAGCCGCGCCGGTCCCGCGCGTCGCTGCCCAACGCCGGCGTGCGCTCGTCGATCATCGAGCTCAACGGCGCCTACACCAAGCCAGCGGCGCCGCCGATGGCGCCACGTTTCGTGCTCGGTCGGCACGCGAGCGAGTCGAGCGTCTCGCTCTCCGAGCTCAAGCGCGCGCACTTCGAGCGCACGTCCATGTCACTGCCCATTGCCGAGCCCGACGACTCGACGCGCTGCGTGTACGACGACCCGGACTCGGCGTGGCGGCCGCTCGACACCATTTCGTCCACGGGCGCGCGCGCCGCCTCCGAGAGCGACGAGTCCGACACGCCAAGCATGGTCCAGCTCTACACCCTCCGCGGGTCCCGGCTTGACACGACCGAGGCCGTGGTGTCTGGCTGCCTCTTGTAGTCAAGCGCCTCCTATTTACTAGTTTGCAGCTATCCTTCATGGAATAATTCGCAACCCTAAACCCTCAACGTTCCACAACCAACGTCGTGCTTCTATCGTCGGTGCTCTGCCCAAGGCCAGGGGTTTTAAGTCGACACGACAACAGATATTACAGAGCGCACGGGCGCGCGCAGTTAACTTAGTATACTGACGGTCTACTCGCCTACTGCGGGTCTTGGACAGCGGCGCGCAGCGTCTCTTTGATCTGCTCGCGCTCGGTCGCGTTGGCCATGCGGAGACGCTCCATGAGCAGCGCTGTGAGGTACGCGACCGAGTCGTCTTCGTTGTTGCTACTGCGCAGCGGCCCGAGCATGTCTTCAATGCTTGCGCTGTGGTCAAAGTTCGGCGGACCTTCCTTCTTGACGTCCACCATCGGCGCCGGCTGGTTCTCGAGCTGCAGCGTCGCCTTCTTGTCCATCGGCTGCAAGAACATGTCAATGTCTTGGTCCAGAAACTTGGACACAGCGACGGCTGTCGGGCTCGACCCGTTCCCGAGGCGGTTGTTGTTGTTCGCGGCCGTCGACGGATTCGCCGCCGGTGGCTGCGACGGCATGTCGACGACGATCGAGTCGCGCTCGTCGGCAATGTACTCGTCCGGCGTCGCATCTGGCGTCGTTGCATAATACCGCGTTTCCTTGATGCGGTAGCGACTGCCCTTGTAGACCGACCCGGCGGGGATCGCGAGCGCGTTGGTGCTGCTCGCCTCGGGCACCGCTTGGGCCGTCGGTGCCACGAGGTTGGAGGTGCTCGCAATGATGTTGTCAAAGCGCATCTGCATCGGGTCAAACGCACGGGACGTCGACGGGCGGTCGATCCAACGCGGTGGCGCCTGCGGCGGCGCGCGGAACCGCCCGGACGCCGACGGCGGGTAGTAGTCGCGCGGCCGGCGCGCCAGCGATGCGTCATAGTCGTACGAGTTGTCCTCGTTGTTGCCGTCGTCGGCGCCTTGAATGATCTCGAGCCGGACCGTCGACTCGTGCGCACCGGGGCGCTGGTTGTTGAGCTGCGCGAGCACATCCGACGCGTTGTTGAGGTCGCGGAGGTCGATCGTCGTCGCTTCGCCCGACCGCGGCAAGTATTGCACTTGCGTCTGCCGGGGCCCCGGCCGGGGCACACGCGCCGGTGGCGGCGGCACGTACCGGCTCACCGACGTGCCCACTTCGTCGTACAAGTCGAGCACCGACTCGCGTTCGTTGACAAACGACTCGCGCGAGTCGGGGCGCGCCGGTGGAAAGTACGTCGAGTGCCGGTGAAAGCCATTCGATGGCGCTTGCTGCGGCGGATGGTACTCGGGTACGAGCGCCAGGTCGTGCTCGTAGCGCGGTGCAAAGCCCGACGGTCGGCTGAGCGGCTGGAGCGGCCCGGACGTCGACTCGCGGTAGCTCGGCTTGCGCACCATGTGGTCGGGCATGCGCAGTCGCATCGCGTATGGGTCGTCGTCCAGGAACGAGTCGCTCTGCATGGGCTTGGACATGGTGGCCCGCGGTAGATTGGGCTGCTGCAAGCGCGACGGGAACGGCCCTGGCGGCCCCGAGTTGGGCGACTTCATGTTGTTGGACGACGAGAGCGCGCTGCGCGTGTTGGGGTTGGCGCCATTGTTGTTATTGTTGTTGCTGTGGTTGTAGAGCTCGTGGCCCGAGCGCGAGCGTCCTAGTTGCATCAGAGAACTGAGATGTTGTCTTATTAAGAGATGGCGACGGTACCGAGTGCGCCGTTGGCGGCCGCTTGCCGGTTCTCGACGGCACAGAGCGAGCAAATGTGATACTTCTTGATGCCTTCGACGGGCACCGTGGGGCGCTGTTGCGTGCAGCAGCTGCTGCAGACGACTTCGCCGCACACGCGGCAGTTGTGCTTCTTCTTGAGAAAGCCAAAGCCGCCCGCACAGCACGCGCAGGTCGAGACGCCGTGCTTGGACTTGAGGTGGATGTCGCCAAGAAGCGCGACGCCGCCCTTGTGCAAAGCAGTGTTGGTGCTGTTGTTGTTGCTGTTGTTGTTGGCCGGGTACGACGGCATCGCATGCGGAACGGGCGCGCCGGCGCGCCGCAGGAAATGGTCGTCGATCGCGCGGAGGCAGCCGAGGCGCTGCTTCATGATGGACTGGCGCAGGTGCATCGGCAGCGAGCCCTTAAAGTCGATCTGGAGGAGGTAGATGGCTTCGAGCACGCCCGGCGTCTCGGTTTCTGTAAACACAAAGCCGGACCGGTACAAGCTGCCGCGGACAATGTCGTGGGTGCGCTCGAGACTCGGCGCGCTCGGGAGGTCGATCGAGTGCATTGCGCAGACCCACCCTCGCTTGTTGCGCTTGGCGTCCATAATGTCTTCTTGCGACTAGAACAATAGAGTGTACGATGAGAAGGAGGATACGGATGGATGGCGTACCTCGAGGTAGACGTAGTCGCGGGGCTTGGCCGCCATGGACGGCGACTCCATGAGAAACCACTTGATGCTGACCGAGTGGCGCGGGTACTTTTCTGTGCGCTGGCGCAAGTACTTGAGCGTCTGGTAGCTCGCGAGGTCCTGGTTGAACTGGCGCGTGAACTCGGCCGATGGCGTGAGGCCATGGGTCTGGCTCATGTGGTCGGCGTTGAAGAGGTCTGCGACCTGGTCGATGGTCGCATGCACGGACGTGACGCCGCACATGTAGCTCAGGAATTTCTCTTGCTCTGGCAGCGGGTCGTCGCCGGCGAAGAGCTCGACCTTGTTCTCGACGCCAAGGCTGCGCCAGCGCACGGCGACGCTGCCACTGTCGGCGCGCCGGGCCGCGTACGCCACCTGGGTGCATACATCGCGGCCGAGCCTCTTCATGCGCTCGATCTCATCGTCCGTGAGCTGCGGCGCGTTGAAGAAGGTCTGCATGTCCGAGCGTCGTCGTCCTCCGCCCGTCCAAAATGATGCAATGGGTTATACCCGAGCGCAAGTCGCCTCATAAGTCACGCGTGTTACCCCAATTCGGACTCGGACCTCGTCCAGGGCGTTGAAGTCCGAAACGAACACGATGTTTAACGCGTTTTATAGGGAATACCGTTTTTTGCGACCTGTTTTCAGCTTTGTTTCGGACTAACCGTGTTTGACCGCATTGGGTAAAACCGAATTCTACATGGCACCACGGCAGAGTGCGTGTCCCTTCCGCCGCCCATCAGCGTTTGTATTGTATAGACTGGATATTTGTATGCAACTCGTGTATTTTAATGTGACAAAATACAGTGTACCGAAGAGCCAGGTGGGTACTCGGTCCTCGTCGTCTCGATGCAGCCAGCGTCTTCTCTCATGCTCCTACGTGGCGAGGCCCAAGCAGCAGCAGCAAAAGCAGCAGCACCAGTGCCATGCTGCTGCAGCCGCAACGTCAAGTTCGTTGCCGCCATTGCTCACGCCTTCGCCGTGTCCGCAGCCGCATTAGTACACTGCCGACGTCCCGGCGCAACCACTGTGGTCGCGCCTGTCAGATCGCAGATAGCCGAGGTAGCGATCTGCAAGCTTCGTCGGACGTACGTACCGGTAAGCAACCATCAGCGCTTGGCGAGATGCTGCATAGTGCTCTGCCATGGCGCTTATTGCGTGGGGGTCGTTGGATGGCTTTGCGGGTCCTAAATGACGTGGCAGCGTCCTGGCGCAGCAAGGTGATGGCCACCCAACCACCATCCACTTGCGTCCAGCGTGCCTTGCACTGGCGTGTAAACAGCGCATTCGAACGGCAAGGCACTGCGAAAGAAGCGTTCGATGGCATTCGCGGTGCCAGTCCGCCTGCCGTCCATCTTGTCAACGACAACAGGTAATATAAACATTATAAGTGTGGAGACTACACGATGACACAACTACAGCGTGTGCTTGGGCTTGGTCCAAAAATCATCGGCCGACACACTGGCGGCGGACGCTCGGCTTTGAAACGACGACTCGGACGGCGCATCCCACGCGGGCCCGACGACCGCCGACGTGTTCGAGACAACGGGCGAGATGGCCGCGTACTGCGTCGAGCGCTTCCCAGCGCCGCTAGCGCCGCTGTCTTCAAGGAACGAGTAGAGCGGTTCTCGGCCGGCGTCGGCGCTCAGGCGTAGTGGCTGCTTCCCGCGCATGATTTGCATGTACGGGTCGAGGTCCTCGTCCTTGGACGTCTCGTGGTGGCGCGACGAGAGCCGGTGGCTGCCGCGGTGGTGCACATCGGTTTGCCGCAGAAAACTCCGGCGGTTGGCTACACAGCATGAGGGATGCGCAGCTGCGAGCATCGGTCTCGTACCGAGACGCAGTGGGTGCTCGTCGTCACTGCGGCGGTCTTTCTGGAGGTTGCAGACGTTGCACACGTCGACGCGCTTGAGTCCTGCGATTGGAATCTGCATGTCCTTGGCCTGCGAACACTCGGCGCACACAATCTAGATCCAACCACAATCAGATCTGAGATCGCAGATGTCGTCGACGTACGTCGCCGCAGAGCCGGCACGTGATTTTGCGGTGGACAAAGCTGAATTTGCGGCTGCACATGGCGCAGACCTTGACCTTCTCGAGGTTGCTCACGCGCGACGTCTCCATGTTGCTGACAATGCGCGCGACGAGCGTGAGCTTGGCAAAGAATGCACTGAGGGACGCAATGTTGCCGACGCGCGCCCGCAGCATCGACTCGACGTCTTCGCTCGGCACGAGGCCTTTGAAGTGGACTTGGACCATGTGCAGCACCTGGACGACGCCCGGTGTCGCCGTCTCGAGCACCACGTAGCTAAGAGTGGCGATCGTCATTTGACCGACAAAGAGAGAGCGTAGCTTACCCCGAGCGGTACAGGCTGCCACGCACGAGGCTGTGCGACGTGTGGTACGCTGGAAACTCGGGGAGCTCGACCGAGTGCATGCTCAGCGCCCAGCCATTGCGCCCGTGTAAATGCACCTCGTTTTGATACTAGTTGCGGTTCCGTGGTCGGTGCGTCACTGGCAAAGGGAGCTACTCCTACCTGCAGCACGACAAAGTCCCGCCGGGGTACATACGCCGACGTCGAGTCCCACACCACCCAGCGCAGCGAGATCTTGAGCCGATCGACGTGCTTGAGCGTCCGCAAATTCTTGGCGACTACGGTATGCGCCTCGAGCTGCGCGTACGCTTCCTCGCCCATGGCCGACTGCTCGTCGCCGGAAAGGAGCTCGGTGACCTCGTCCAGCGTGGCTTGTACTGTCGTGGCACAGCACATGTATCTATGTCCACAACTCGCATGAGACGAGTGACGTCGCATGCTAGTCGCACTGGACGTCCGAGGCTGTCGCCGACTCGCCGACAAAGTATGCAAGGCCAGGGTCCGTTGTGAACGGCAGCGGGCGCCACGTGATGCCATACTTGTTGCGCTTGGCGAGCTTCGAGAGCGAGAGCAGCTCGGTGCACGTCTTGACGGCAGTCTCTTTCAGCGCTCGGACTTGCGACGGCGACAGCGCTGGACAGCTTGGCGACGGGAGGCGTCCGTGCTTTCCGAGTAGGAGCGACGTCCGCGACGTCCTCGACGATCCCATCGTGTACGATGATGATGAACTGGCCATTGCACTTGGTTGCCCCAACGTAGTTACTCACGCCAGCGCATCATCCAAGGTGGCGGTCAAGTGACCGTCTTTCCGTGGTTTCAAGCTGCGAGATTGGTGCACATGAAAAACCTCTAAGGAATATGGGTCACGCAACTGAGATTGCCGATCAGCCTTGCAATCCCCAAGCAGATCCCCAGTGCAGACAATAATTGGCGCCAAGAAGCCAACTTCGACCATTGTCATGTGCACACGACTACGGACGACGCAGCATGCAATCAGCGTCGAGACGTATTTAGAGTGGGAGCAATGCTCGTCCTGGCTTGTCTTTGCCACCGCCGGGACTGATGCCCGGCCGCAGTTGGGTTTTCCTTGTGCGTCTCCCACTGCGCAATTGAGAGAAGAATTGCAGCTCAAGGGAATATAATTTATTCCCTTGATGTAGCCGGTACTAGAACTCAACGCTCACGACTGGGACGCATTAGCGGCTGCATCAAGAGAAAAACCCGTTAATGACACATAGTCTTCGCATTCATTGGGTCTAAGCGCAGAGGTCCGTCGATGACCCGGTGCAATCCAGCCAAGGGATATAATAACTTGTTATTATATCCCTTGTATCCAGCCATGCTATCCAGCGACCGATCTCCACCAAGTATTTCCGCCGACCCATGTGGACGGTCGAGAGCCATCGACGCGAGGTTTGACGGTCGACACGCACGTTGTTCGGTATCCACTTGCAAGCCAACGAGCACACGACACTTGACGGGTGGCGACGCACCTAGTGCCCGCAGCGCAATCTTTGATGGGCGACCAACAGTGCTCCCGACTGTTATGTGGCTGGGACTACATCACACCACACATATCAGACTGGTACACGCCCTGATGTAGTCGTCGACGTTAGAGTTGATCTGAGGTGGAGCTTCCCAGTCGTACGAAGTAGTCGCGCTTTCTACAGGCCGTCGCGGCCTGCGCACAAGGACTCTTGCGTCGCACCAGCCGCTGGAGCGCCGCACGCGTGCACGGGCCATTGCGAGAAGCCCGACTGGCAAGGCGTTTGTGACATGGCGATGCATTTCCTAATACTGTCTCAATCAAATCCAACAATCCTTCACAACGATCCCTGGACGTTTACCATTAAGGAGCCGTTTCAGCCACTCAGTCTCCTTGAGACAGTCCCAAGAAACCAGATGGGTACGAATACCCAATCGGAAGGGCCACGTAACATTAATGCGAAACCCTTGCCACGACAGTTCCCGCCACCACCACAAGTGAAATGACCGTCACCAAGCGCACCGCCGCCGTCGCCACCGCGGGCCTCATGGCGTTTGCGTTGGCCTTTATGGTCTTCTCGTTCGAAGTTCACTTGGTGGCGCGGTCGTCATCGCTGCCACTGCCCGTCGTCGCACTCGCCGCCGAGCCCGCGATCGTACCCGACATGCTTGTGGCCGCCGCCGAGCCCGACGTGCTTATGGCCGCGCCGCAGCGACAGCTTTCGCCCGAGACGTACTCGCTCTCGCAGGCGCTGGACGAGCACACGCATGTGCACCTTGTTTTCACAACGAGTTGCAACCAAGGCAAGCGTCACTTTCTCTCGTCGAGCTTGCAGGTCTCGCTCTCACGCGTGGGTCACCGCGGGCCATTGACCGAGATTGTTCACGGCTGCAGCGCCGACGAAATGGTGCGGCTCTCGGCGCTACCGACGTTCTACTACGATTTCCGCTACCACTTTGCACCCGACTTTGCACTTCAAGGCAAAGACCACTACGTCGCGTACAACAAGCCGTTTGGTCTGCGTCACTTTTTGCAGCACGGCGCGCGACAGGACAACTTGTCCATTGCACTCATCGACGCCGACTACGTCCTCTTCAAGCCCCTCCGCATCAACTTGGGCGCCTCGTGGGGCCCGTATTACCAAAACACGACGCTGCGCAACGCGTCCGACATCACCGACACGGTCGCCGACGGTGTTGCGCTCGCTCAAAACATGAAGGCTTTTCTCGGGGGTCGCTGGTTCAACGACCACAACGCGACGATGAAGCAGCTCGTGTGCGGCAGCGGACCGTGCGCCAACGTCTCGTCCGCGGATGCATTCGAGTTTTACGAGCCCGCGGGCACGCCGTACATCATGACGCGCTCGGACTGGCATCGGTTTGTCGACGACTATGCAGCCTTCACCGTCAAAGGCCGGCAGTACCAAGACGACTGGATGGTCGAGATGTACGCCTATGGCGCCGCGGCCGCCAACCAAGGCATCAAACACACGCTGCTCAAGCACTTGGGACCCGCGACGTGCAGCTTTCACAATACGGAGCACTGGGATTTCCTCCCGCCGTCGACCCCCAACCCGTGCGCGGACCCGTTCGATATGGTGCTGCCCGAAGACCCGCCGATCGGCATCCATTACGCCATGTACTATGGTGCCGGCGACGATATTCATTCTGGCTACTGGTACACCAAGCATCGGCTGCCGACGGACCTTACCGAGTGCGACAGCATGCTGCTTGAAGTGCCGCCAGCCACCGAGTGGACCAAGCTAGCGACGTTGGGCTTGTCGGAGCGGGACCTACAGACCAAGCGCCACAACGTATGGCTGCAGTGCACGATGACCAAGTACGCCAACCAAGTGCTCACCGAGATCAAGGCCAAGATGTGCCCGCTCGGGTTCAACACCCACATGGGCATCAGCCTCGACGCGGCCAAGATGAAGAATTCCGCATACCCGCAAAAGACCACGCCGTAGTCTCGCTCTATCCTATAGTATAGATATATGGAGAAAGCTTCGTTTGCTCCAACGTTGTGTAATACATGTATACTACAAATGTACTAACTTACTGGACTCGGGGACTCTGCCCAGCACTGAGATCTTGTTGGACACGTTGAAGTTGAAGTTGCTGTGCCTCATCCGGACACCCTATCCGGACTTCGATATTTGCGATCTTCCGATCGTCCTCATATCCAAATCACCACAGCGCCATCATGATGCTCGCTCGCGCCTTTCGCACAGCGCACGCCTCTCGCCTGCCCGTCTACCGCGCGACGTGTCGCGGCCTTGGTACGTCCACGGGCTGCAAGGCGTCGTGCCTCTGCGGCGCATGCCAAGTGGCGACGACGACAGCGCCAAAGTGGGTTGTCAACTGCCACTGCTCGCAGTGCCGCCGAGCGCTCAGCGCGTCCTACGCGTCGCTCGCGGGCTTTGATGTCGACGCGCTCTCGGTCACGAAGGGCCATGACCACATCGTGAGCCACACGACCGGCCGCGAAGAGCGCTTCTCGTGCAAGATTTGTTCGTCCAAGGTGTATGCGCACTTGCACCATCTGAACCACAAGGCGATCTACAACGATTCGTTCACGAGCCCAAACCACGGCCCGGACGGTAAGATCGCGCCGGGTTTTGCGCCAGCGATGCACATCTTTTACACCTCGGGCAACACGAACGTTCTCGACGGCTTGCCCAAGTACGTCGACTTGCCCGCTGCGTTTGGTGGCTCGGACAAGACAGTACCGGAGAAGTACCACCACTAAATGGCCGCTGCATGTCCCTTGCACTCGAGCAGCTCGCGTCCACCCGCTTCGGCGGCGAGCGTGTTGTGTAGCCCACTTCTAACGTTGAATCAAAACACAATGTGGTTTAGTTGATACCGCTGAGTACGAGTCTAACACGCAGTCGCAAACAGTTGCCGGTTTCGTGCTTATAGCCACGAGGCATGGCGTGATCAAAGACTTGTGGTGTCAAAGCTGCGCCCGCATGACAACATGAGAGTCTTCCTCACCCAGGTCGTCCATCAAGTACAACGACTCATTCAGTGAACCAGAGACTGCAAGGCACGGGTGGAAGGCACGCGCGGCACGACTCGGGTCGGTGTCCTTGACAGCCGAGGTTGATGGCGCCATCAATATGTTGCAATTCAGATCGTAGGCGGCACAAAATGCCTTCCATACACATCCCTGGGTGGCACCAATAAGAAAACGAAACCCCCGAGGCGAAGAGCGCGCGAACTTGAGCCTGTCGCTCTCGTAACGATGCGCTGTTTCGATCGTACCAACATGCCCCGCGAAACGCGAGGCATACTTGTAGCTCCTAGAAGAATGCTTCCGTCGCCGACCATCTCGACGGCTCGGCATGATTGCTGCGGTGGTGGTTTTGAGGCTATTTCTGTCTCATTGCATATCCACGAATTGTACTTTCTAAAAACGTACTTTCCCAGTTTGCACATTTGCGGAGATCGAGTAGTTCTTTGGCTTGTCAGTGATACAGACAAATGCAGCACGGCAGCCCTACCATGTTTGAGGTGCCCGTGCGCCGCAGCTCGTACGCGCGACTGCTGCAGTGGGTCGGCCTCGGCTACGTTCTCGTCTCGACGGGCTGGAGTCTCTACTGCCTCGTGCTCTTTACGCCGTATGTCGCCAACGACTACTTTTGGACGGGCTTTGCGACCGAGGGTACGTCCCGTGTGCTTCTTGCGCTTCTCAACACGCAGCTCAACACGCGTGTTGGTCGATCGCTCGACCTCCTCTCGCTCTCGCTGCCGACAGACTTTTCAGACACGGTGCCCAGCAGCTACGGACGCCGCCTCTTGTACGACGACTTGACGAAGCCGGTCGCTGCTGTGCGCAGTCTTCGTGCGCTCGACGTGGCCTTGATCAAGTACCTCGCGGCCAAGTACTGCTGGGTCGACTTTGGTCGTGCTTGGGAGCTGGGGACCTCGGAGCGCACGATGGCCCGCTGCATCGAGCGCGATATCCAGAACGGCGCCGTGTACATGGAGACAATCTTCCGCAATGTTCCCTTTCAAGAGTGGTATGCCCACGACGCGACCCACCTCGACAAGTACCTCTTCGACCCGATCCGCCAGAGTTCGCCGGCCGGCAGTGCCTACGTGCGTGGTATCCAGCACTATACGTGGCTTCCGGTTGACGACGAAGTTGCGGTCTGGAAGCAGAGCAACATCGACACGTTTCAGCTTTTGTATTCGAACCGCGTGCGCATCGGGGTCCAAGAATCCATCGGGATCGTAAATGCCCTCGGCATTGTCCACCCGCTCATGATCAAGTCGATTCCGTCGGTCCAGCGCGGCCTGCCCGACTGGACAACGTCCTTCTTGACCGGCACGCTCCAATATGACTTGATGGGACTCATGATGGCGCCGAATATGAGTCTCGTGCGCAACACACCAGGCTTCTTTGCCGACACGGACCCGGCCATGGTCGAGCTCTTCCTCCTCGGCAACATTAGCCCTGTGAACCGCGTTCTGCATGCGACGCTCGATTTCCTCACCAACATTCGTCTGCGCTACATCGTGCCACCAACGTCGTTGACAGCGCTTGTGGCTGCATTCGACACGCACGTTTTGAACACGCTCCGAGACAGCACAACGTTTGCGACTGCCATGGCCTTGGTCCCTGCGTCCACCGCTGTGCTCCCCGCGCCGGTCGCATGGACTGGCCACTTGTCGTACGGAGGCAGCCCGCTCTGCGGCTACGGCAACCCACTGCCGCTGATCCAAGAGTCGTTCGCTTTTGATGACGCGTGTGTCGTCCAGCTGCCGTTGACGTATTCGTGGACGCCCTTTAGCGGGCTTTTTGCTGCATCGCTGACGCCGCTAGCATCGTCGTCCGCGTTCTGTGCACACCAAGCACCGACGTGCGCCATCGCTGTCGCCCGCACGCTACACGCTTTGTCGCAGTTCACACCGTCCACCCTTCGCGTACCCGACGACGCCAAGGACTGGGCCGTGTCGATCGCTCAGTTTCTCGCCCCGATGACCCACCCCAACAACATATCGCTCGCGACACAGCCGCTGTTGGACGATGACAATGTGTGGGCGCCCTTTGGGTGGCTCAGCCTCTACGACTGGGCACACGGCAACCGCGAAGTGGTCGCGTTTGAAGGTGACCATGGCACCCTACGGCTCATGTCGGCGGCGTATCCGGCCGTGGTCGCGCCCCGGAGCGCCATCACGAGTGCGAGCGTCGGCGCGTACCTCTGGTACTCGGCACTCCTCACGTCCGTCGTGCTCGTGCTCGTGGCGAGCATCATTCTAGTGCTATATACGCTCGGTCGGGCGCAGTGCACGCCCCACTGGTTCCATTTTCACCGGATCTCGTCGTCGATTTACCTCAACTGGGGCCTTCTCTTTGTGCGTGCGCTTCTCGCAGCCGTGTGCTTGTCGAGCGCCCCGGTCGTGCCATGGACGCAGGGCGCGACGCGCACCCTCGTGCAGGACCACCGGTCGCTGTGGACGAGCATGTTCCTCGCGGGCGAGACGCTCTGGCTGTTGTTTGTCGCGCAAGAGTGTTTGCACCCGATCCTGCTCGAGTCCTTACACAAGTGGACCGCCGGTGCAGCGTGGTGCGTCATCGTGCTCCTCGACGTCGCGTCGCCCGTGTCGATCGAGGCCAGCATTGCGCATGCATGTACCGCGACCGACATGGACATGGCCCTCCACTGCGAGGCTGGGAGCGTCCGTATTGGCAGCTGTACCCGCGTGCTCATGATTCTTGGCGTTCAGCTCGGCAGTGTCCTTGTCGCCACCGTTGGCTCCTTTTTGTGTCGCGAGTCGTTGCAGTCGCACGAGCAACCGCCGCTGCTCTTGCCGCCGATGGTTCTCAAGCTCTTCCCGACGCACGAAAAGCTCGACGATGTGACCGCCGCCATGTGTGGCCTCCTCTGGCTGCCCTGGTGGCAGCAGCTCTTCAGCATCAAGTTGTGGCTGCTCGTGCCCGCCGGTCGGTGTGCAAGCATCCAAAAGCTGACGGTGGTGCCGACGACCAACAACGGTTCGCCGATCCTGTTCAAGCACCAAGCCACGGCGTCGCGCGTGGCCAAAGCCGCGCCCTTCATCCTGGCCGCGGGCCTTGTGTACATTGGCTGCACGCTCGTCAGCAACGTCGCATACCTCTCGATCGCTGCCGACTACATGGCCAACGATTTTTTCTGGGCCAACTTCAACACCTCGGGGGCCTACGCGTTTCTTGCGACGCGTGTCAACGCCGAGCTTCTCGTGGGCCCCTCGTCTCTCCTCGAGCTCGAGAGCACCAAGCACATTGATTATTTTACCGCGTACGACGGGTCCCAGCCGAGCGCGCTCATGTCGGCGGCCACCGCCACCCGCCGCGCGCTCTTCCACCCAAACGTGAGTACGTTGGAGGCGGCGATCACAGGGCTACGGGCGATGCACCCGTGCCAGCTTCCGTGGATGGCGACGCAGTACTGCTACCTCGACTTGGGCCGCGTCTGGGAGATGGCGAGCACGGCCAAGCGCCAAGAGCGCTGTCGCCACATGACCCGCAACGGCGCCGTCTTTCTCGAAACCGCTCTGCGCAATGTGCATGACTGGGACGCGTTCGACTCGTGCTGGGGCGACGCATTTGCTTCTGGTATCGTCACCGAGGTCGGGCGCAGCAGCTACGGCAAAGCGTGGCTTCAGCAGACCACACGTGTGACCAACGAGGTTGCGGACGAAGTGGCACTCTGGCGCCGCGCCAATGTCTCGGAGTTTACACTGCAGTGGCAAAACTACAAGACGATCGGGTTTGACGATAGCCTTCTCGTTGAGAATGCGCTCGACCTGCGCTTTCCCTTGCCCCTGGCGCAAGTCGCAGCGTCGTTTCATCCGACGCGACAAACCTCCATGGTCATGTACTGGGGCTTTGCCAGCGATCTCTGGGCCATTGGTCGTAGCAACCAGACAGTCATTGGTGGCTTGAGTCTGCTCCGGTCCAGTCCGCACTTTGCGTTTACCAACAAAAGTCGCCAGGACCTGCTCGTTGACAACTTGACGCTGTCCGCGCCGCTGCAAGGGGGCTATGTCGCGTTGTCGGCCGCGCTCGGTCCTTTTAACGCTGTCGACATGCTCTACGTCCTCTGCCCAACGCCAGTGCTCCAGCTGTACCGTGGTCTTCTCACGGCCGTCGCGATTCTCACGACAGGCGCCAATGCATCGATGCTCCAAGCCAGCTACCTCAGTATTCCGACGTCGCCGCTCGTCATTGCAGTGCCGTCGCTTTGGCTCGCGACTCCGATGACGATCATCGCGGTCGGCGGCAATATTTTTTGCCCCGTCAACCAAGTCGGCGGTCCATTCTTTATGGGCTATGGCGTCGGGTTTGCCGATGCGAGCTTTTGCAATACGTTTGTGACCGACAACATGGAGCCCTCGATCAACCACGTGCTTTTTGCGACCCTCGGCTTCAACGCGACCTTGCATTTAGCTCCGGACGTCGACTGGCGCGCGATTTGCACGCTCAACACGTACCTCGACAGCGACTGCGTTGCCAAATATACCGTCGCCGAGAACTTTCTGCAGCAGCATGCGGCCGCGTTCACCGACCTCGCGCCACTCGCTATTAGCGCCTACACGGCGGTCCAAGCACTTGACGTCCAGCTGCTTCAGTACGTCCTCAACATCACCGGCATGGACATGGCGAACCCCAACATGTCGAGCATGAACATGGCGACGCTATTGCAAAGCGACTTGCTGGCGGTGAACGACCGGCCGTGGAACTACTATGCGTGGCTTCTTCTCTTTGAGTGGGCGAATGGCATGCGCGAGGTCGTCTCGTTTCAGGGCGACAACGGCACGTTGACCACGCTCTCGCAACCGCTGCAGCCGCTTTCGATGGCGCCGGACCCACGCGTCATTCGCACGTCGTACGCACCGTTTTTGCAGTCGATTTTACAGTACATTTCCGGGGTCCTGATTGCCATTGCGGGCCTCATGCTGCTCTACACACTCCACATGCGCGGCGTCGTCGAAGGCCTCAACCTCTTTGAGCTTAACCGCATCGTGGGCATGGTCTGGGTCGGCCGGAGCTTCCTCATCGTGCGTAGCGTCACGGCCCTCTGCCTCCTCAACACGGCGACGCTCACGCTCGTGCGACTGGGCGCCGGCACACACTTTGCGTCGCCGCATCTGCCGTGGTTCAAGGTGTTGCTGGCGTCGGCCGAGAGCACGTGGCTCGTCTATGTCCTCAACGACGTCTTTAGCTGCGTCACGCATCAGTACACGCCGTACTATGCGTTCAAAAGCTCGCTGCTCGCGTGGGGCGTGACCTTCTTCTGGACACTGCTGTCGCCGCTGGCGCAGAGTGCGCAGCTCCAACGCACGTGTGCCTTTGTCGACATGGATGCGGCTCTTGTCTGCGTGAGCGGTGTCGTCCATTTAGGGAGTCTCTCGCGCGTCTTGACGGCAGTGGGGATTGCGTTTGGCTGCGTCTTTGGCTGCTATGTGGCCGAGAGACTCGTGCGCCCGTATTTACCAAAGAACGACGTGCCGACGCTGGCGCTGAATGCGCAGAGCTTTTACATTCTCGAGCTGTACAAGTACGAGCACGAGTACTTTTTGGACACAGCGAGCGCCGCCATGGCTGGGATTCTCTCGCTTTCCTTTGGCCAAAATGTGTACATCCTCGACGTCAAGATGTGGCGCTTCCTCGTGATTCCAGCGCCAAAACGCAGCGCCTTTCATCCGTACCATCGTTGTTTGCCGCTCAACGCATTATAGAAAAATAGACTATATATTGTAAATATATACGAACGTGGTCCGCGTTATCTTCGTTATTGCACGTAGACGTCGCATACATAGCGCTACGCCTGAATGCGTGGGAGTCGGCACCAGCACTTGGTCGTCATCTCCACCGTCAAGCCAGTGTTTCGAAGCAAACTTGTGGGCGCAAGCGCGCCGTTGACGTACAAGGCAGCACAGTCGCTTGGAAGCTGGCATCGGCCTCGAGACGTGCCATGGCTGCGCCCTGGCGGTCGTTGATAGCCTTGATCTTGGTCTGCTGCCGCGACACCATCGTGAAGTGACACGTCTTCGAGGAGCCCTGACTTGCGATCGTCGCGTGAGTGATCGCTAGTCTGTCGCTTGGGTCGACGTGAAAGAGCCACGTCCGGCTCGTTGCGCCGGCGCTTTCGGGCCTCCTTGAACCATGTAATGTCGACGGTCGCCTGCTGCCCTTGGGCTCGAGACGAAGGCTCCGGCACCTCGAACTCCTTCGCTTGGATGGAGCGCTGGACCGACGCCTCGTAGCTCTTCATCGCTGTGCTTGACCGGCGTAGCGCGAAAAATCTCGCGTGCGCATCTGCGGCGAATTGTCTGGTTGGACACGTCCATGACGAGCTCCTTGACACTGACGTGGTCGAGAATATCGTCGACGTCGAGGTTCTTGACCACAGACTTGGTACGCCCAAGAAAAGGCGTGATAGGCCGAGCGAGGTGGCGGCGAGTTGCTGACGTCACGACCGACTTTGTCTCGCCGCGTTGTCGAGTTGCTGCAGCAGCGTAGTGAGCTTGGGCGCCGGACGAGGCAAATCCAGGTCGCTACAGTCGCGGTGCTGGTGCGGACAGGCGACGTTCCTCCAGCGCTCGTCCCAATCGATGTGGCGTGGTCGGCTGCAAGCAGCTTTTGGTCATGCGGCAGTGGGCGAGGCGAGTTGCCACAGCAAGTCGTTGGGTAGAGATTCTAATGTCAACGAGTGTTTCGTCACTCAGGGTACAGACACGTGGCACAACGAGCTCTCGAGGTTCGTGAGTTGTGGTGAGATCACTGGTAAGATGTACTGAATATAGTGTACATGCAATCCCACACTATATGCTAGCGATCCATGTGGGCCCCGGGGCACCGCAGGTCGGTACCATATTCGCCCATTGAAGTGACGGTCCGGAAGCGGGCATGGGCGCGGTACAGGGATCGCCCGCGTGCGCATGGTGTCCAGGCGCCAGTGGCGTGGAGGCCGACGAGGCAGATCTGAAGAGGCGCAAGATGACCGCGGCTGGCGACCACCTGACGATGTACCTCGACGCCAGCGCCAGCGCGCTCGAGTCCGAGTACCTCGCCAAGTCCACCGAGGCGCATGGCTACATGGGCAAAGCCAAGAAGCGCCCACGCGCCGGGTCGCTGGAAGCGATTCCGGTGCCCGATGCGTTCCTCGCTGAGAACCTCCGCGTACGGCGACCGCGTGCAAACACCAACTCGCGCGGGAGCCGCGGCCTCTCCAACGTGACCAGTACGTACCATTACAGCAACAATAGTAGCTACGAAACCATACCCAGCGTCGTCCAAGCATAAAAGGCAACGTCATCCGCCAACATCATCCTCAATATATATATGTCTATCGAGATGCCTGCGTCCCGCGCCGTTATGGCACCATGCACACAAGAAGCGCCAGGACCAGTGTCGGGACGCGCGATGGACAAGGCTCAATCG